AAGGCGCTGCAGTTGTCAAACTACTATGGCACCCGTGACCTCCCCCTTAAATAGCTATCAGTACAAGAAAAGAAACGAAACACAAATGGTCTGAAAAAGCAGTCATCGCTGTCAATGAGGCATACCGCAGCTATGCAGGACATCGCCATTATAGTTCCTATGCTCTAGTGGTCACTGTATCTTGACCTACAGATATCAGCACCAGCAAAGGCAGCTAAGCAACATAAAAATGCAGTTATTTATAGCATTTGCAGATTGACTCCATCTGAAAACACGCCTTGCGGGTTTATGCAGAGATTGTAATCATTATCAATGTTCTCCTTTTACACAGAGGTCTCTCTGCACCAACTCCTTTGCCTCTTAGGACGGTACCACCAGTTCCACCAGGCACGACAATCTTATCCTGCACCAAATCCAGCAGACTAGATTAATTAGTGTTACCAACTTTACGCAGCAGTAAATATAGATGAATTTGAGAATTAAGTCATTTAGCTTTTAATTTCCAGAACATCAGTTGACAGTAGACTCACTGTCTATTTGGTGTAGTTCTACAGTTTTGACTGGGATTTCTTTGCCCTGGACTGATTGCCTGTTTGTTCCAAACCTTTCTCTCTGGACTCTCCCTCAGTCTCTTCGCCTCAACTTCACTCCCCACCCGTTCCTCTTACCCTCTTCTCCCCTGCCCCCCTCATCTTTCTATTTAACTTATCCCCCCTCAAGTAACCCCCCCCATACACACACACACACAAAAGAGTAGAACTAGTATGACATTTGCCACCATCACACTGTTCATTCTGCTTATATGTTATAACCCTTCTATTTAAATTGTAAGCTCTTTGGGGAAGGAACTGTCTACTACTCCTTGTTTGTACAATGTGACCTCATTCTTGGCTGGCCCTTTGGCACTCCATAATAAACATGATTAAGAATATTTTTTAAAATTAGAAATATAGGGTCCTTATCTACCCACCCAAGGCTGGGTGATAAGACAAAGACATGATGTGTTCCCCCTGCCCTCCTCCAACAAGAGGCCACTAAAATAAAAATAACAGTATAACTGAAGCTAAGAGCACTTCTGTAGAACTGCAGCATCAAGAGCTGACGTAACCCAGCGCTTGAGGCACAAACAAGGTTCACATATAAAGATTTCAGCAGAAGCAACTTCACTGACTTGCTGTAGTACCTGGGCATTGAGTCACATCACTACTTTAAATAATGTTTTCGATCTGTCTCCCCGCCCCCCCCCCCAGTCTTCAATTCACTATTTCAAAATCCAATTAAGATTTTCTATAAATCTTTTAACATTTGCTATTTGTTTCTATTAATTTTTTTTGTCTTCCAGTTGGTCGCATCTGTTTACACACTTTCTTTCTCCCCCATATATTTTCCCTTTCAGTATTCACTTTAGCTCTCTACGCTTTTTTATCTCTTCACTCTTCTCTTTTTCCTTGTACGCCTGTCTTTGCCCCTTTTCTTACCCCGCTACAGCCAGATTATCTTCTCCAGACCACTCCACTCCTCGATACATCAAGCTCCACATTTCCCACACTGCAGGTTCCCTTCTATACTCACCACCTTGTCTCTTTTCTTGTTTCCTTCAGAAATATCCCAAAGGTAAAGTGACAAAAAGAGCAAAGTTATAAAGCAAGCAACTTTTTTTTTCCTTTTTATACTCTAGAGCAGTAATTCTTAATCTTTACCGCAGCCTGCACCACTTTGGTTCTCAAAATATGTTCTCGCACTCCTTAAGCCTAAAAAATATGTTCTCGTACCCCTTAAACCTAGATATAGAATCACAGAACATCGGGGTTGGAAGGGACCTCAGGAGGTCATCTAGTCCAACCCCTGCTCAAAGCAATACCAATCCCCAGCCAGATTTTTGCCCCGATCCCTAACTGGCCCCCTCAAGGTTTGAACTCACAACCCTGGGTTTAGCAGGCCAATGCTCAAACCACCGAGCTAACCCTCCCCCCAACTTGTTTGTATATTACAGTAATCGTTACATAGGTTTGATTAAACAAAACAGTTGTACTTAGTGCCTGTGCTTTATTTGTGTTTTCAATGATTTACCTTCTAAAAAAATCTGGCATGTCTCGCACCCCCAGAAAGGGCATCTCGCACCCCCAGTGGGTGTGTGCACCCCAGGTTAAGAACCATTGCTCTAAAGGGTTGCACACTGTTGCTTCACTAGGCCCAGCACGCTGCACAAACCAGGGACTACTTGCATTTCTCTATTGCCTACCACAAGCTAAGCTGTGACACCCTCCCATTGCCATTATTTCAGAGACTCCCTGAAACCTCTCTTCCCTGATGCCAGAGGCTCAATGTATTCTCCCGCACAGTCCTTCAGCCACATGCTAGGAGCTGTATCCGTACCATACTAGTGTTCTCCACTGCCCCCATGGCAGGGGTTCTATGTGCCATCCCACACTCTAACATTCCCCCGTCCCCATACTTGTTTTCTTTCTGTCTGAAAGAAGACTTTAGTGGGGTCAACGTTTTAAAATTGTACTGGAAGAGCAGAGCTAAGATGGGGCATTATGCTGGAAAGTGTTAACAACTCCCATCAACCATTCTTTGATCTCTAGACAGTTACACAAGTGGGTGAAACGGATGGGTGTGCTAACCGGATGCCAGGGGCTCCATGTGTCCCCCAGGTCCCCCCCACTTTTGGTTTTTCCAGTTTTCATCAAAATCAATATGGGTTCCGTCCATTGATGCCTCTAGAACATTCCCTAACATTTTGGACTTATCAGATAAGAACATAAGAATGACCACACTGGGTCAGACCAAAGGTCCATCCAGCCGAGTATCCTGTCAGCCGACAACAGCCAATGCCAGGTGCCCCAGAGGGATGAACCTAACAGGTAATGATCAAGTGATCTCTCTCCTGCCATCCATCTCCACCCTCTGACAGACAGAGGCTAGGGACACCATTCCTTACCCGTCCTGGCTAATAGCCATTAACAGACTTAACCTCCATGAATTTATCCAGTTCTCTTTTAAACCCTGTTATAGTCCTAGCCTTCACAACCTCAAGTCACGGAGTTCCACAAGCTGACTGTGCGCTGTGTGAAGAAGAACTTCCTTTTATTTGTTTAAAACCTGCTGCCCATTAATTTCATTTGGTGGCCCTTACTTCTTATATTATGGGAACAAGTAAATAACTTTTCCTTATTCACTTTCTCCACACCACTCATGATTTTATATACTTCTTTCATATCCCCCCTTAGTCTCCTCTTTTCCAAGCTGAAAAGTCTTACCCATCTTTAATCTCTCCTCATATGGGTCCCATTCCAAACCCCTAATCATTTTAGTTGCCCTTCTCTGAACCTTTTCTAATGCTCTAATATCTTTTTTGAGATGAGGAGACCACATCTGTATGCAGTATTCAAGATGTGGGTGTACCATGGATTTATATAAGGGCAATAAGATGTTCTCCGTCTTATTCTCTATCCCTTTTTTAATGATTCCTAACGTCCTGTTTGCTTTTTTGACTGCCGCTGCACACTGTGTGGACATCTTCAGAGAACTATCCACGGTGACTCTAAGATCTCTTTCCTGATTAGCTATAGCTAAATTAGCCCCCATCACATTGTATGTATAGATGCAGTGTTCAAAAGTTATCGTGTTACATCCAAACACAGAAATGCCATCTAGTTGTGCATTAAAGTGTGTCACTGAGTCAATTACAGTATTCAAGAGTTAATTTTCATCAATGGTGTATCAATACCACAGTTTGTTTTGGGAACTTTTTCTCTAATTGATTCAGTGTTATCTCCATCAGAAAGTTTACTGGATGGAGGGACACTAACAATAGAAGTTCTTTCATAATACCAAAAAAAAACAAAACGCACAACAATCACAACACTAAACTCAGTTTCCTACATTCTGATGCAGAACAAATTTGTTTTAACACAAATGAACATCCAAAGGCTCCCCAAACTTTTTCCACTGAACATTAATGATCATCTCAGCTGATCCTTTTTCCAACCGTGAAGAGTGATGCAGAGAAAATGTCACACTAACAGACCCAATACAGTTACGTGGAGAAGACACCAAAGCAGGGTTAATCTATATTAATGGATTCAGAGAATAGTGATTTAATTTCACTATTCAGCTATAAGTATGTACACAAAGCACATGGGAGCCAGGGGAAAATGGAATGATAATGAACCCCATACTCGCTCAAACATATGCACTGAAGGAGAAGAATTTAGATTATTTTTAAAATCTATGCGTATGTTGCCAAACTTGCCAGACAAAATGTAAGAAGAGAGCAGGATAAAAAACCCTTCTCTCCCCTTCCAGGCTTTTATAGCTATAGCCAGCAATGAGTAGGCACAGGGTCTTTAATGGCTATACCCCAAATGGTAACAGAGCTCACCATGAAATAGACACAAGTCCTAGGAACACTAAATCAGACCATCTACACCATACAGACTAGAGCAGGGGCTAGCCCCCTCCTGCAATCATGGTGAAGGGGGAATAGTGAGAGCATCATCCCTCCTCCGCCCCCATGGTGGGAACAATCAGCATCTCCTCCTGCCTCTAGACATGGAAAGGGGTGTGTGTGTGTGGGGGGAAATCAGCAACTCCCTGAAACACCTCCTGCCCCTCCACTTATGGGGCGGGGGGGGGGGGAAGAGTGGTCACCATCCTCCCGCAATCCTCCCCAGCACCTCCTGCCCCTCCACTTATGGGGCGGGGGGGGGGGGAAGAGTGGTCACCATCCTCCCGCAATCCTCCCCAGCAC